CTCTCCGACATACTATCGTGGGTTTTTGACACTTTTTTTTGTTCAAGGAAGGCGGTATTTTTGAGATTTTATCAATATGTCTATCAATATGTACGAGTGCTATAATATGTTGTGGTAGGTTAGCTGCTCCATATATATGATATCGCTGATGATCCCAACATTCTGCAATAAGAACATCTGTAACTGAATTCTCCTCTCTGTAGATGTGAGAAACTGTGTCTCTGTGGATTGATATGATATATAGATTTGTCTAAGTATGTCCTGAATAGCCCATTGTAACGCTCTGAGTTTCGTGAACCAGGATTGTCACGTCATATTCTTTTGTACCCGATTTAACTAACAAGATTTGCGAAAAATAACTAAATTTCTAATTTCNAACGGTAAAACCTCGTCGGCAACAAAACTCATTTGATTAATTTAAGAAATTTGATTAAACTTTAAATCTCGAGTTTTTTGAAATAACTGAAATAACAAAGTACGTTAATAACATTCAAATACGTAAATTTTAAAAGTAAATAACATCATCCATTAAATCGTTGCCATCACTGTCCATGAAACCCGACCGTCTCCAAAATCTGCAAATGTCGTTAAAATATCGAAATGAGTATTTCGATTAAATAATCAGTAGACTTATCTCCGATAATTAATTTACAGAATAATTGAACACATAATCATGCAAAATATACAGTGACATCATCATCATCATCATTGGCTCATTTTCTTGAAAATTATAGACTCTTTAAAATCATAGAGTGTGGGTAGTCTCGTTTCATGAATTTAAGCACATAAGTTATGCATAACATTCTCATCTTATCTCATAAGAGATATTCGTCTCTTCTCATGCATTTAAGAATATAAGTTATGACAAACATAACAATATCATATATCTCATATGACATATTCTCATCTCATGCATTAAAACATATAAATCACGTAAATTCACATAATACATGCAATTATAATTTAAAATAATTAATGGTGGCGAATCTACCTCAATTTATCTCGAATCGAGTCTCGTAAAAAGTGGAGCGGGACGTAACCTCGATCTCCTAATCGTCCGTACGTTTCGTCTAGCCAAAATAGGAAAAGTATCGAATTAGTATTTCGAGATTTTAAAGTTTTAAAACGATGAAATAAGGTTTAGGGACCTAATTGAACATTTATCAAAACTAAATTTGAAAAGTTTAAGGGCTGAAAATACTATTTTCAAAGTATTGGGGCTAAATGTGATAAATAAGAACTATACGGACTGATTTGATAATTACTGAAAATGAAAATAAAAGTTTAAGGACTGAAATTAAACTTTTAAGAAAATCAAGGACTTAATTGGAATAGAGTGAAACTAAAAATAAGAATTTTGAGGACTGAATCTGAAATACTCTAAACTTAGGGGCTGATTTATGAATAATAGAAAATTTAGAACTAAATGCATGACTTTTGAAACTTGGGGGCTTATGGGGAAATTTGTAAAAATCATAATAAATAAAAAAAATATAATATATATATCTCTCTCTCATTTACTGAGAGAAAGAGCTCGATGGGGAGGGGGAAAAAGAGGCAGCCCCCTCCGTCGATTCCCACCACTGTGGTGGCGTCGGTACAGGGGGCAAAATGGGGGGTTTTCATTTGGGCGAAATGATTCGAAACCAGGAAATGGGGCTCGATTTTTCTTGGTTTCCTTGGTGGCTCAAGCTCGAGAAATGGGTTGCGAAGTAAAGTAAGTTCATGGGTTGTTGATTTAGGGTTTTTATTTCATGATTGGGTGGTATTGGTCTCGATTTTGGATGGCCATGGGGGTGGTGTCATTGCTTGGTCAGTGGAGGTCGTGGTGGTGTCGTTGCTTCGATTTGGAGTGAGTTGTGGGTGGCTTGGTGGTTGGTGGAGGTCACGGTTTTGGGGTTGTTGGTGGCTTGAGGTGGGGTGTTGGTGTTGAGCTAAGGAGATGGTGGTATTGATGGTTTAATTCTGCTGGACCATTCGAATGGTGGCTGGAACGTGGGGTGGATGGCTGCAGCTTGGGTTTTGGTGGCTGTAGTGTCTGGTTCGAGACTGGTGGTTGGAGGTGGTGAGGTTGAGCTAAGGAGATGGGTGGTGTTGATATTGGAAATTGATGTTCAAGCATCAACATTGGTCTCCACAAAATGAGGGAAGGAAGGATTCTTACCAAAAATGGATTGGCTGCGTGATATGTGAAAGTGGAGAGGTGATGAGCTGATATATGAATAGTTATTTAGGGCACAAATCCCTAGGTAGCCAATTGGGCCAAATAGTTAGGCTGCAGGGATTTTTATATTGGGCTTGAGTGGATTGGACTAAAAATCAAGATTTGGACTAATAGAATTTTGGACTTTAGATAATAACATATTGTATTCAAAACTATTAAAATTGAGATTTAATAATGATGAGAAATTGATATTCGCAATTGAACTTGACTCGAATAATTTAAATTGGTTTTTATAACGGCTAGACGAACACGTTTTCACTTTAACGTTAGGGTTTAAAATTTAGCGACACGTTTTTCGAGAAAATAATTTTATATAATTTAAAATTTTTGATCGCTACAACCGTGGTCCTCCTCCTTTAGTGATGCATTGAGTAGCCACTACATAATCCGTCTCAATCCAAATGTCTGAAAGACCGAGTCCTCTAGCTAGTAAAAACCCATCTAGAATAGCCTTGCGTTCTGTCTCTAATATCATGCATGAACCGTATGAAGTTGAGAAAGTCCTAATATATTGACTTGTGTGATCTCTGATGATGCTTCCCTCGCTCGCAAAACCATCATTGACGCATCCATCATTATTAATCTTGACATATCTGACTGATGGAGAGTTTTTGACACTTGCAAGTTGCTATTATTCTCTCTAAAAACGCTAGTAATAGGATTCATCTCATTTTCTCTAGATTCACCATGCACACTCGTCTTTATTTTTTTTATTTTTGCACGTAGAGATGCATTCTATACTATTAGCATCCTGAAGCTCTCCGCCATCTCCTGTATGATTTTTGCAATGGGCATCTTTTGTTGCAAATAGCGCCGATGTGTGAGAGAAATTTCGGCCTCCACTTTTGTTAGAGTTTTCTCTCGTTGTCGCTTTGGATTAGCGTTACTATCCACCTGACAATACTGCGCTCTTTGACTTCAACCTCCGTTCCTTTAGTTTTTTCGGGATTCACTCTGTTTGGCTCATCCTTTCAAACCTTAAGGTTTTCTCAACTCCAACAAAAAAATTTGTGGTTTATTTTGCTCAAATTTCCCATAAACGGTACCAATTTGTTGACATTAGAAATCTGATCAACAAATTCATTTCACCTAGAGTTTTTAGGTCCTAACTCATTGATTTTCATGCTCAAATTGGAGGAAGAGAAAAATGGCTATTTGGAAGAGAGACTTCAATTTGCACGATTTTCTTCACTTTAGGCAGGGGTACTTATAAATTTTCCTCAAAGATTCGAGAGTAATTATGTCATTTTAGATAAGCAACAGGTTGCGACCTCCTATTGGCTAGTTTGGGCAACTGGTTCTATTTTAAGTACCACGTTTTATTCATCAGCTTACGTGTCACGTGCTTATTAGCTTTGAGCTGCTTTAAATGTTTGTCTGCATGTGCCTTAGTAACGATTTTTGGACAGTCTAGAAGGATAATGGTTCGCATTATATGCTTGCAACTCTTGTGTATTTTCATCCGTAACATACTACTTTAGTTCACCAATGGGGGATGAGCTCACAGAGTAAATTTCTTGATTCAATAGGTCCGTTTGTGATAGCTTTTATTTTTTGTAGAAGAGATATATGAGAAAGTTATTTTAGTCCATCTTTTTTTAATGCTTTATAAATAAACAAAATATTTATATAAAAAAAATATCTAGTAAATCCAAAAAAGGTTGCTTAATTTTTAAAATCACTTTTGACTTTTCACAAATACTAAGGCTATGTTTGGTACCAATTCTCATTTTCAACAATAAATCAATTCTCATTTTCAACCACACATTCTTCAATAAAATAATATTTTCTATCACATCAATAATCTTATCTTCTTTTTCAACCACACATTTCCCATCATATCACTATTCAAAATCAATTCTTCCCCATGTGAACTACTTGAACATTTTTACACTTAGCCATTGTTTGAGTCACATTAAAATTTTCATTCTCGTTCTTTTAATCATTTTCAACCACACATTCTTCAATAAAATAATATTTTCTATTACATTAATAATCTTATCTTCTTTTTCAACCACACATTTTCCATCATATCACTATTCTAAATCAATTCTTCACCCAAAAAATCCCTACCAAACACACACTAAATCAATTGGGACCTTATTTATCTCTAACTTTCACCTAAAAAAGGAAAAAAATTACTTATTTATTTACTGTTTTTCTCAATCAACCCTGTCAATTATAAAGAAAAAATGAGAAACAATGATATTTTGAATAGAACAAAAAAATATATTATATGGCTATGTTTGGTAAAAATTCTCATTTTCAACAGTAAATCAATTCTCATTTTCAACCACACATTCTTCAATAAAATAATATTTTCTATCACATCAATAATCTTATCTTCTTTTTCAATCACACATTTCCCATCATATCACTATTCAAAATCAATTCTTCACCCAAAAAATCCCTATCAAACACACACTAAATCAATTGGGACCTTATTTATCTCTAACTTTCACCAAAAAAAGGAAAAAAAATTACTTATTTATTTACTGTTTTTCTCAATCAACCCTGTCAATTATAAAGAAAAATTGAGAAACAATGATATTTTGAATAGTGAATTTTTTAAAGATTGTACGGTTAAAAAATAGAGAAAATATTTGAAATTAAGTATAAAATATTTTATTACATAAATGTATGATTGAAAATAAATACGAGAAATAAAGAGTTTTAAAGTTGAGTGGTTCACTGGTTCAACTAACTTATTTGTTTAAAACTAATTTTACTTTTGTATAAATGAACTTTTTTAGCTTGGTCAAACATGTATATAATAATGACTGAAAATAATAACTCGAGGGGATGTGAACAGCATTATAACTGCAGTCTCTGTCAAACGACGGATCACGATCACTTAACACTATTCCACGCCCCTGCGAAGAGGAAACCCTATGTTTATTTTTTTATTCTTTTTATTTTCTTATTCTTCAGAAGCCCTTTTCTCGCTTAAAAATCAGTTCCATTGTTTTTGTTAAATGCAGAAACGAATGGGTTCCGAAGGATCATCACGGGTGATTGGTAATTTTCTAAACTGTTCTCTTCCCTTGTTGTATAATGCTATTTTTATAACTTTTAAAGCTGTAGATCGTTTTTAATCTCCTAATAATTATCCTATCTCTTTTCAGTACCTGAAATTAGGGGTTTTCTTTGATGGGGGTTTTTTCAGCGTGGAATTTGGAAATTGGGTCAATGTTGAAATCTTTAATTCTAGGAATGCTGGACTAGAAATGAAATTAAAAAAAAATATGTTTATTTTTATATGTGAATCATTTTTCTTTTGATTTTTTTATTTATTATAGGATTTTGTATGATCTTTTGGTGTAGAGACTAGGAAAATGTTAAACGTGCTCAACTGCTGACTATGAAACACACCCGCTACTAGTAGAAAATGGGACATATATTAGGAGGTTATTGGCTAGAATTCAGCCTCTGATTGCTCTTAAATTTGAGAATTCCTGTAAAAGAATAAGACTGGAAAACTTGTTAGAGAATTTCCCTCCAACCCTTGGGTTTGTCTATGGAGTACATGTTGGAATGCGAAGCGGATTTATCCAAAAATTAAAAAAATTCTTTAATTCAATAAATAATATCGTCTAGATGTCCATGTGTATGTTATATCAAGAATAAATGATTGGAAGTTTTACCTAAATTCGATGATTAATTCTTGAATTAATTCTGAATCATGAACTTCTAGCTTTTCGGGTCACGAGCTTTCAGATTTTAATTGCAAGAACTTGATGATTCAAACATCTAAGTCTTTTATGATATTCTCCAAAGTCAAGACTACATTGATGGGTGGACACTTTTTATTTATTTAAATTAAGAAACTAATTTTGGACAATAAGAAAATATGATTTTTCTTATTTTCTCTCTCTCTCCAAATTTGAACACTATGGAACTATGTATTATGACTGTTGTAGGATTTTTATGTCCATCTAGTCTTTATTTATAGAGAAAAGGATGTTCCAATCCATGTAGAATAATAATTCCAATATCAAATGGGAGTCTTAATTAAAATTCAAGTAGGAGTTTTAATTAAAATACAAATCCAATTAGTTTACATTTAATTACATGTATAGTCCTATAACTTCAATTACAAGTATAATTAAGTTTACAACTTTTATAGTAATTACAAGTAAGTCCAAAACTTTATTGTAATTACAATTAAGTCCAAAACTATTATAATTACCTTAATTAAGTTCAATTACGTTATAGAGTTATCACAGGGACCTAATCGGACCTATATTATCCAAGCTCCAATAATTAGATCATGTCTAGTCGACCCTAAATCACACAATTTAATTATTGGTTTTTGTTTTTTCCACTAAAGGCAAAAGACAGAACTCTCGAAATATATAAGATCACAGAAGCCAATAAATCTGTAATACTTTTCTCTGACCTGCAGTATATATATTTTATCTCCATTCAAGATTCGATAATTAGGTACGAGTATAAATGACCGTTTTGCCCCTCTAATTATTCTCACTAACTTAACTACCATTTTTCTCAACTGTCCTGTGAACAAATCATATATGTTGAAATTTAGCCATCGATAAACATTGAGCTCGGATTTTAACCGTTCAACAGAAAATATTTAAGTAGTCACTCCACCCAATTTTTAGGGGGATAGTTCCCGACACGAATTCAGGTTCTCTACTTCACTCATTCTCAAGTTCCCAACTCATCGAAATATTTGACCAATAAAATTGATCACCCATTGATGAATCAAAGAACCATTAAAATTACGAAAAGATACACATAACTCTGTCAAGGGATTTATATGAAATACACGGCGGTCAAGTGGAATTTAATTCTCCGCACGGTCATGCTATAGAATTAAACTCGAAACGTGGCCCGTTTAATACACTCCAAGTGTAATAGTGTCACCTTTAACTATTTCTGTGATAAGGACAAATCACTAACCCGAATAGTGAATCAGACAAAACAACAACCTTCCGATACGAGGTGACAACCCTAATATATTGGTAGTGAAAAAATTATTTATGATCAAGATATAAGTTGTATCACAATGTACTTCTCAATTCAAGTACCCAATTTATATTATTACAAGTCATCATAGGTACTTTAATTCGCATGCTCAATAAAAAATAAATGCAATAAATAAAATAAAAACAATTTTATTTAGCTTCTGTTTGAGAGCCATTATTTTCCCATTTTAATGAAAATTAAGACCGTTGCAATAGGAAAATGCACAGTGCAGCAGTCGCAATGTTTGAAAATAAAAAAGGAAGCTGTCTTTTACGTAGTGAAATGTCAAAATTGTCAACATTATTAAATTCATCATAGAACAAGTTTGGGGCTGTAATGTTTTTTCATGAATCTTTTTCCCTGATTGTAGAGTACACGGTCAAAATCTGCTGCCAAAGTGGGCCCCAGCTACTGTACAACGGTCTAATTTTTCATTCCCATTTTCAGCAAAATGTGCACCAAACAGACCCTTAATATAAGAATATTGTTATTTTTTACATTAGCAAAACTATACTATATGGCACACAATCCAATAGTATATACACCTATATTTGCGGTTTAAGCTAAGGATCCGTTTGATTGCAAGGGTGGAAAATGGGTGGAAAGAAAATGTTTTACTGTGAATTGATTTTTCTAGAAAATGTTTTATTGGGAATTGTAATTAATTGTGTTTGATTGGTATAATTTTTCATGGAAAATGTTGAAAGTTTGGTGTCCATTTGGCTTCGTTTTTTATGAAATTTGTCCAATAAAGTGATAATTTTTTCTACCATTGGGTCTNTTACCATTGTTTCTAGAATTTGTTCCCATTGCAAACCCCCCCCCTCCCCCTCCCCCCCCAAAAGGTGGAAAATGTTTTCCCACCAAATATGTGGGAAAACAAAATCAAGTTTTTGTGTATCAAAGGATTGTACCTAAAAAAATGTGGAAAACATTTTGCAAGGAAAATTTGTGCTATCAAACACCCTTAATTGGCTAAAGTTAGAAAATAGTTTCCTTTTTCATCCATTTTCTAGGCTATCAAACGGACCCTAAATCTTATATTAACATGAAAATATTTGTGACCGAAACTAAGTCCTCTTACCAGATAAAGAGCAAAATAACTGATCTTAGGATGTCCTCTCGTCTGTTTCTCGAATTCAACCATAATATTCCAAAGTAACTGCTTGTCGTTATGGCTTTTACCTTTTTATATGGATAAGCCCCTGTACCAACAACTATAATTCAGCCCTGATATGGTATACTAGATGGATCGGGCAGGTAAAGAATGTTCAGTTTCTAAGTTTGATTAATCTAACTTTAAAGGTTCCCCATTGAGCGTTTGCCCGGACTTTCTAAGAGAGTGCATGCTCCAGATTAGTTGAGTGATTTTAGAACTTCATCATGACAATGGTGCCGAGTTTCAGGAGAAAATGGTAATCTAGAAATTTTTAATGATTCAATGCTAAATAAATTGGTGATAGTTTGTCCAATTGAATGACTTTCACATCATACAATTTTAGAGAGCCTGCTGATACAAGCAAGTTCCAATTTGAAACAAATTTAATTATTTGGAAATTGGTTAGAATGTGTTCTTATTTATTGACATTTGGTTGCCACGACCTCTTCGGCTAATGCATATCAAAAATTCATTTGTAACTAACCGTGTAAGGTATTTTTATTTATTATTTGAAAGGGATACATTTAATGTTAAATAACTTGATTTATTATAATGAAATCAATTCTTCATTTGTTACTTTATGTACTGCTCTACTTTTTACTGGAGCATTGCTAAATCTGACACTTTCCTCTGTTTGTATGGTTTCCTAATGCTATGGAGGAACCTACTCCTATTTTGGCTGTTATACATGATGGTGTAGCAGCAGCAATTTAAATTTAAATGTTTCAATTTCCTTTCGTTTTTGTTTCAAATAATATTCATTTGCATAAAATGTCACACTTTATTTTTTCTCAGAATAGACATTATATTTGATCCTCTTATTTATATCTAAATGCTTAGAAGGCAAAATTTTTGTGTGGATCTGCTTTAAGCTCTAGTTGTCTTTAACTATCATATGTTATTATTCTCATATAAATCATGATAACTTAGTCATTTAATTTTTAGACAAAGGAGGATGTACGACGTAGCCTTCTGTCTAAACAGTTCTTGGCTATATTTAAATAATCTAGAAGCTGGAAGGAAACTCTAGAATAATGCTAGTTAAGAGTTACTATCTTTGTTTGGCTTGAACTTCAAGCTAAGTGAAAAATATTTTCCACCTTGACTTTTTCTCCTATTTCACACCAAAAGAATTAAAACCAATAAGCTGCTTATGGCTTCCTTCGCAGTAGTGACAAATGTGGACATGTTAGGTTCTTTCGTTTATGAAGAGAGCATGGTTTTAATGCATGTTACACTGATCCAATGTAGTAATCTTTTTTAAGTTAAAAGAAAATACTAGATCAATTTAATCTACGTAATATGAAACGATTTTTGTAAATGGTCTTCCACAAGTTAAGAATGGATAACTTCATGTGTGTGATTTAAGATTATTGCTCAGTCTACTTCTACGACTCAAAATCAAATTGGAATCAGTGGCATGCATCTGTCATGGAGTTAAAAAGTTTTCTGTAACTTTACTACTCATAAAGGGAAATAACTACAAACTTTATTTGATTCTACGGAATAATTAAACTGACACATAAAAATCATACAGCATAATTTACTTGTTCCTAGGCATTTAATTTTCTTAAAAATTTCATCTCTGTATTGCTTTTGGGACCCTTAGTTCTTGAACTTCTCTTTACTATTTAAATGGTACTTTGACTAAGAAGGATTCATTGCTGTGAATCATTCTTCTTAAGAATTTAGACTTCATGTGTATGTGACCAAGAACCAGAAGAGTAAATAAGAGAAAACTCTCAGTTACAAGTTTTGTTACTAAGCCCCTATTTGACCCACATTATTTTTTTCATTCTCATTCTTTTACTCATTTTCAACCACACATTCTTCAATAAAATAATATTTTCTATCACATCAATAACTTTTCCTTCATTTTCAACCACATATTCCCCATCACATCACTTCAAAAAAATGCATTCTCTCATTTTAATGTGCACCAAACAGGCTTTAAGATTTGAATCAAAAGGCTAGTTCTCTTTTATTACGATGTCAAGATTCTTGTTCTGATAGTTGATTGCCTTGAAATAGGAGGATGTGATCATGTGAATGCATGGGATAAGCCTCTCAAAGTAAAGTTGCTTTAATCATACAAGTTCCCGCAGCTTTTCACAAATTGTTAAGCATAACTCAGAACATTAACTTCCATGAACGTTTTTCATTTATTTAGAAGTGGATAAATAAGGGTATATCTAGTCCTTTAGTAATTTAATTAAACACATCCACAATGCCCAGATAAAGTGGGAGAACAAATATAATTTATAGTTTTGGTGCCATTTGAATCTTTTAGGACCTTTTAGTCATGGGAACCCTGCCTTTGCTAGTTCAGGTAATATATAACAATTTGGGGCCCCCGACTGAAAATTTTGAAACTTCAGAAGTTAGGAAACTATTGACTGTTAATGTTCTAGATTACCAAATCATTGAAGTGGAGTT